GTAACGCGCTGGACTCTGGGCTTCGTAACGCGCTGGACTCTGGGCTTAGTAACGCGCTGGACTCTGGGCTTAGTAACGCGCTGGACTCTGGGCTTAGTAACACACTGAACTCAGGGCTTAGTAATGCGCTGGACTCAGGTATACACCAAGATGTTCATCATGTATTTGCCCAATCATGGCTCTTAAGGTGCAGATACACCTTACAATTATCTGCAGATTTTCTGTGGTCAGGTGGGAAAGGAGCAACAGATTCCTCCATCTACATACAACTGTGTGGATGGAGGAATCTTCCACTGGGCCAAGCTTCAGTATCTTGCTAGTCAGCCCCGCTGGCTCTGTAAATACCTGAACAATCTGATTGGATGCAGGCATCGTTCAGGTGTTTTTAGAGCCAGCGGGACCAACTAGCAAGATTACGGAAGCTTGGCCCAGCGCGGGATTCCTCCATCCACACAGTTAAGTGTAGATGGAGGAATCTGTTGCACCTTTTCCATCTGACCACAGAAAATCTGCAGATAATTGTAAGGTCAGAGTACTGAGCCCTGATTGGGCAAAGTCTTGCACCTGACCTGGGGTCAGGTGCAAGCCTTTAGCCAATTAGGGCTTCACAAGGCACATTGCCTTGTGGGGCGTTCAGTGATTGAACAGACAGCTGTTTGTGTGTTCGGCAAACACGCAAACTAGCGATGTTCGCGACGAACTCACGGTCGACTCGAACATCCAGCCCAACCCTTCTCCTGGGTGTCTCTGGCTCGTTCATGGTTTACTGCTGCCAATAACAGTTGAACCTGAACCCCTTACATTTAGTACATGAGGGCAGCACCATAAAGAGATAGACAACTATTATTGAAGAAAACAGCTCATATGTACAAATTCAAACTTGCAAATGAACAGCCTATTTGCCTCCAGTAAATCAACACCGTTGCCACAGATGACATATGACAAAACCTCAACAGATTATTTTTTTTTACTTACGGAGGAACATAAATTAGTTTTGGAACTTGGGCATTTCTTTTGCCCAATATCTTTTTCTGAATTAAAAATATTTTTCAGACGTATTGTGCTTAAGCATCATTTTGCTATAACACCAAAATTGGAAACACAACAGAAAGCAGTCACGTGTCTGAGTTTCTGGAGCGTCAATCCAATCTCCACAGTACTAGTTCCTTTAACCCTCCAACTCATACAGCGACTGAAAGGATTACATCAGAGGGGAAGGGAGATCCGGATGTATTCAAGAAGGAATTTCAACTAGGACAAAGTCAGAGGAATCTCATTAAGAAACAACAATAGGCCTTTATACCCTAATGAAAGATGAATGCCTAATTTTTATACCTGCCGATAAAGGTGGAGCTACAGTTACTATGGATTGATTAATTTATATGGAACAAGTTGATGCTCTGTGGTTGGATAGGTTTACGTGCGGAAAGTCATATACTAATCCAATGTTTAAGATCCAGAGGCAGAACATGCAGGTGCTGAATGGAAAGGGAAATACCATCAACTGAGAATTCTTTTGTGAATTTGTTACAGATAGTTTTGACCAGTTTTGACTAGTTTTGAGTTATTTCATGTTTGAAGATACTATTTTTGAGCAAATAAGAAGGGTGGCAATGGGTCGAATGTAGCATGTTTTTGTTTTTTTCAGTATTCTGGCAGCTACTGCCGTCAGAATAATTAAAAAAAACAAAAAACAGCATAGGAATGAATAGCTAGAGTGCTATTGGCTATTTCAATTTGCAATATCCAATAGCAAGCTGGCTATTGCACCTGACCTCTGCTAGATCAAGCAGAGTAAGCCTTTCCGGGAGAAAATGTTTATCTCCCGGGCGGCCAGGAGCCACTATCTAGTAGCGGGAGACTCCCGGAACATCCAGGAGAGTTGGGATGTCTGTTATACAGATGCACTTTTTCAACAGTATGCAGGCCCCGATTTCCCACAAGGCCACTGAGGCCCAGCCTCGGGGCGGCGGAGCACAGAGGGGTGGCAGCGGTGACCTACCTTGTGGGGAAGTTGCGGGCGCCATTGTAAGGTGTCCGGCGGCCGCACACTACGGTCCGCCGCCAGACGGTATGCCCGGTATGACGCATTGATGACATCTTCATGTTCTACGGATTCTTTGTATGTTTAGTGTATGATTATTTGCTGCTGCTTGATTGGTTCATGGTGCAATCATGTTGCAGTTTGTGATTAATTATGGGGTTATTTAAAAATAAATTGGTGTTTCGTGTTTGTTCTTATTTGGCTTGAAAAAGAGATAGTGTGGGCTCATAGCGGTGGCATTGTTTCAGATTTTTATGCTGTGCTGCTGCTTTTTTGATTAGAACATAAAATATTTTTTATATCAATTTTATATGAAGTACTTGGTGCAGGACACTGCAAGGTGTTCTACTGGATCCTATGGATGTCGAAGGCAGCACACTATTTGGTGTGCACTCTGTAACTCAGTGTAACTACTTTGACTTACCACTTTAGAATGTCAAGGAGTATCTTAAACTCAAAGGAAAAATCTTATCAAAGTACTGTTTTACCCATGGATTTCCAAGTGCAGCATGTGTTCACATGGGAATATGCCCTGGGAAACCTCCAAGGTCCTAGATGTATGCTTTGTTCCACCTTACAAACAAATATTTGCAACCCAAGGTGATCAAGCCCGCTCAGATTTGACCAGTGTGTGGCTCTATTAAGGATTCCTGGGCACATCTGCCACTGTCAAAATACAATAGACTGGTGGGGGGCTGGATTTCTGGACAAGAAAGAAACTCACAGTGAATAGCCAGCTTAAGACTGAGCTGTGATTTTCCTCTATTTGTAGACTGTGGGAAAAACAGGTAACCAGTCCTAAAAATACGACTGTCGCAAATAATGTTAATACTTTGCCTGAACTTAAGAGAGATGTTGGCACTCCTTTGTCAGAGGTACCCGTCAATTTCCCTCGAGTGGTCATGGTTGCGAAGTCAGAGGAAACTGGCCCAGTACCAGAAATTACAGATATACCAGTGGTCATGGAAAATTTGGGGGCACAAGTTTGCAGGATCCCAATTTAGCAAATGCATGGAAAGAATTAAAGCCCATAAACTAGGCACCTTAATCACCAGAGGTTAGACTGGCATACCCCCATTTTGCAGTATACCGCATTATAAAAATCCCCATACTAAGATTATATTTGAAGGCAACGTAATTTCTAGTTACATTTGTATAATATGTATAGCAAACAGTATTTCCAAGGTTAAAATTTAGCCTCCCCACTACAAGCAATGAATAGCTCACAGAGGTTCTTCCTACCCTATCCCCAAAAAAGTTTCGACTTTACATACATTTTAATCTTTAACAATAAAAAAATTAAATGTACTACCATATCAGGAGAGAATGTTCCCAGTCCTATCAGTGGCATCTTATGCCCATCGTTGAGGAGAACAAAGGAGCTTGCATAAAATTCAGAGCCGTCGCTCGGAAGAGTAGTAAGTGACATCTTGACAGTTCCCACACACAATGTCAGCAGTGATGATGACACTGTCATTGTCTGTATGTGAGGTGTGGTCAACGTGACAATCTACAACAGGGATCAGCATTAAGTGTCAACTTACAAATATTAGACAGCTCCTATGCCAGGAAAAATAGCATAGCCATATAGTTTATTTACAATATTTTCACTCATAGTTGTACTGTTTATAGCAAGTTAAATTCATTAACATTTTGATATTAACTTGTGCACACCAAAAGATGCTTATATTTACTGTTAATGTGTACAGAACAGTAAAGTGGACTTAGGGGGCATTCACACTATGGAATTGTGGTTATGGCATTGTGGCTGTGGTATGTGTTACTGCAACAATTGCACGTTGGATGCCTTTGGGCATTGCATTGCCGTGTCATTCATTCTCAATGGCCCCCCAATGCACTTTGTTGATGGATGTGTTTTGGAGTACAATGCAATGTGTGGCAATGCAGTAACATGCGCTGCAGCGTGCTGTCAAACAATTGTGCACATCCATCGGCAAGGTGCATTGAAATTCAAATTAAATGGCATCACATCGTACCAATGCAGGCAATGTGCAGTGCATTTAAGCGCTCATGACACGTGGCTGTTGCTGTGAGCAACCCCTAACAGTTTTAATGTGATCCCCATCCCCGTCTTTCCCTGCTTAGTTTTGTTAAAAAAAACAACTGTTTGCCCTATATTAAATTATGAAACATTTAATAATACCCAATTTTTTGGTAAAATATAAAAGACGGGGTCATGTTGGGTAAATAGACATCAAACATGCCAAGCCTTAAAATTGCACGAAACCTCACAAAACGGCAATACCCAAAATTGGCAATAGGCGATGCTTTACAAGCTTTAACCGCTCATCAGTTTAGTGTTATCAGTGATTGATGGCCCTAAAATTATTGCTCTCACTCCAGCGTTCAAAAAAAAAAATAAAAAAGATAGTGTGGTGTGCAATATAGTGAAATGGAAAGTGTAAAATTATACAGCAATCAATGCAAAATGGCACCGGCTATAGAGGACTACAAATCCCAGCAATACATTATACACTGTATGTATAATGTATTGCTGGGATTTGTTGTACTCCTATATAGCTGGTGGTATTCTGCATTGCGCTGTATAGAGGACTACAAATCCCAGCAATACATTATACACTGTATGTATAATGTATTGCTGGGATTTGTTGTACTCCTATATAGCTGGTGGTATTCTGCATTGCGCTGTATAGAGGACTACAAATCCCAGCAATAATACATTATACAGCACAATGCCAAATACCATCAGCTATAAGGACTACAAGTCCCAGCAAAAGTACGTTATAGCTGATGGAAAAGTATAGAGTAGCGGCTGTTACAGATTCCCGGGGGGACTCTGCTTGCGCACGCCCGCAAGGGGGTGTGCGTGAGCAGGAAGAAAATGACGTACATTTACGTGTGCCGGGAAGGATCCGCCGTTCTCCCGTAATTTTACAATGGGCGGACTGCAAGTGGTTAAGAATCTTTACTAGAGTCATGATTTTATGAGAAATGTCAAATTGCTTTGCAAACAAGCGACTCTCTTGTTACCTCTGAAAATGGCGTGGACTTGTCCAACAAGGTGCTATGCCTTAGGTTGTTCACCCCTGACCTACACCCTGAATCTCTGGACAGCCAATACGGCATCTAATGTGCTTATTTTTTGCTGACCTCATAAGTTACTTTTTCAGTCTACAATAGCAGTCTCATTTTAGAGGAAGGATGGGGTTGCTTTTCAGGATTTTCAACCTTTTGTGTTTCTTACTGTATGTTTAGTTGCAGGAAATACGTCGAAGATAGCTAATGAACTTTAATCATAGTGAACCTTGCACTAAAAACTCATTGTAACAAGTAGGGTTGCCACCTTTTCTTCAAGCAAAACCCGAACACTCTAGCGATGCGTAGACATTTTTTTGGAGTCGCGGCTTATTCATATGTAAATAGCGCCACCCATTCATATGTAAATATCACAGTCGAGACAGTACAGTGGGGGACCAGTAGCCCCTATATTAATTTTCATTGCCCCTGTCTGCCTGACATCATGTGTCCGGGTTTCTGCTGCCATGAAACCCGGACACAGCATTCAAAACCCGAACTGTCCGGGTGAATCCTGGACAGGTGGCAACCCTAGTAACAAGAGGAGCTGGAACATACAAAGAAGGCCAAGGACACCCAAAACTCTCAGATGGACACATTTAGGAATTATGACAGGGAGGTTTTTCTGTTGGTGTATGCAAGAAGCCAGGGACTGACTTAGCCCACCAGGCTCCATCTATAATTGTAGTCATATGTGGACTGATCCTTTACAAATTAACATGAGTGTTGCTAGGATGGTGACAGACTGGTGGCACCCTTGGGCACTGCAAATAGATTAATGATGTGGCGCACTTTGCTCGTGGCAGTGAGTGCTTGGTATGGCCACAATGTGCTCACAGTGGGAGGGGCATCAAGGGGCATAGGTTAATAGAACCTGAGCCTACTCACTGTATACACAGTACACAAGGGCCACCACCCCTGGCACCTATAAAATATGCTTAATTACTGTGCCAGAAATCAGAGATTCTCACACAAAATAAACCTCAACAAAATAATTTTTAAAGTGTATGTCCAGCTATAAGTTGCATTTATTTGTTTTGGATAACGTAAGGAAGGACTGGAACCCCTGAAAGATTCTTACTCTAGGAAGTGAGGGTAAATCTCCCTAACGGTGCCCAGAAAAAACCTAACAGGAGTTCTAAATGTTCCCCACTCTATCTAAAACTAGATAAAAAATGTTGGCTTGACATACACTTTATAAACTGAAACTCTTCCATTTCATATGCTTTTATGCACACATAATATAGACAGAGAGCCAACACTTTGAACTTCATTAAAAAGTCAGGTTTACTTAGCAACACTTTGGTCAGGAGCATGTAATTACAGTATAGCATATTGAGTGCAGGAGTCAGGAGTATATCCATGTATATCATGTTCAGCAGTAATGGGTATACACTGTACAGCACAGTGTACAGAGTATGGCAGTCAGGAGTTTGTATCCTGACCTCTGCACTCGGTATGCTGTGCCATAGGTTGCACACTCCTGACTGCTGTATTTCAAGAATATAGAATGTATAGGTGAGAGTGCTGACATTCAGGCAAAAGTTCCCACCAAGCCAAAATCTTCCTTTCCTTAAGCAAAAATGTCATAAATATGCCACTGGCCGGGAGTGTTGGATGAACCGACACTCCCGGCGCAGAGACTGGGGGCCCACCGGCCACTGGATACCGATCCGGTGCTATCCGGTGGCCGGCAACTGTGCTGGGCCCCCCCAGGCTGTGGCCCCAGTGCGGCCGCACCGGCAGTAGTTCCGCCACTGAGATAGACACCTGTGCAGGACTCTTATTATGTTTCTCACCAATAAGTCAGGACAGGATGTTTAAAGAGAGTAGGGCAATTCGAATCCACCCTACAAACCCATAACACAAACACAGCTGAATTTTCGATAAGCAATATGATCTTAGAACTACTAAGAGAATCATATTGTTATAGATGCATAATTTTCTGAAGCTTCAAAGTGAACCTGTCTTCTTTTTTTGTTTAAATCAGATGCTTTTTATTGAATTTTATTTGTTTTTACGACAAGCAACAAACGCAGTGACCAGCATACACAGTAATGTGAATAATTAGGAGTAAAACTGGGACATCTAGCACTGGATAAAGATAGAGGCAAACCTCACAGGTTGCAATATACTATACCATAGGCCAGGTCACTATCTACAGGGAGTTTGCATGTTCTCCCTGTGCTTATGTGGGTTTCTTCCTGGTCCTCAAGTTTCCTTTCACACTCCAAAGACATGCTGGTAGGTTCATTCGCCCCGGTCTAAATTGGTCCTTTATGAATGCAAGTGAGATAGGGACCTTAGATTGTAAGTTCCTTGAGAGCAGTGACTGATGTGATTGTGCACTATGTAAAGCACTATATAAATTGTTGGCGCTATATAAATACCTGTGATAAATAGATAAAATAAATGTATGCACTAAGCAGCTATGTGCACAATCACCAAGCAATATATTAGGAACACCTGCTTATTCATGCAATTATCTAATCAGCCAATCATGGGACAGCAGCACAATGCATACAATCATACAAGTCAGGAACACCAGAATGGGGAAAAACATATGATTGCTTGAATTCTGACTGAAGTATACTATAATTGTGTGGCTACACAGATTGGTCTAAGTATTTCTCTAATTGTTGATCTTCTGGTATTTTCACACTCAACAATCTCTAAAGTTTACTTAAAACATCCAGTAAGCAATAGACATGTGCACCAGCAAAAAATTAGTTTAGTTTAGTTTAGTTTTGGAACAAAAAAAAAATTTGTTTAGTTTCGTTTCGTTTTTCGGGTCCGAAATTAAATTAGTTTCGGACGAAATCCGTTAGCGGTAGTCCTGCCGAAATTCGTTTATGAAAAAAAAACAAAAAACTTTACTCTCCCATGCCTGGATTTGAACCAACGACCTTAATAATGGCAATCCTGTGCTTTAACAACTACACTATAGCCTCTGTACTTTTACCATAGAAGCATTTGATATATATGAATGCAATATGTAGCATTTGACAGCTAAGAATGTCAAATGGGCTGAGCGAGCCGTGACGTTATGGCTCGCTCTGCCCATCTGTTGTCTTTCAAACTGAATGTCATTTTTGTTAGTTTTCGTCGGATTCATTCACTCACTCATTCATTCATTCACATGGGGGGGGGGCGGCATCTGGGTGCCCCCTTATTTAAAGGGGTACCCCGATGCAAATAAGCTCCCTTGCCCGCAGACCCCCACAACCACCGGGTCAGGGTTGTGGGGAAGAGGCCCTTGTCCCCATCGGCATGGGGACACCCTCCCAATGCCGAGGGCACGTGGCCTGGTAAGGCGCAGGG